AAAATTTCTATATGTGACACAGCACCAGAGTTAAGTTAGGGTTTTTCAAAATGCTGACACACCACACTCAAAAGGTTCGCCATCACTGCTCTAGCCACTGAACCAAACTGGTCAGGGCAAGGAAGATGTTTTTCTTTGTTTCTAATCTTCACAAAGTGCCTTCAGTTACAGCAACAGTCCCACCCTGGGTACTTGAGGAAGAAAGAAGGTAATTAATTAGGTGCTCGTGAAATCATTGGAAGGATAATAGGAATGGCAGTCTGGGTTTGAGACACTTGAGTTCAAGTGTGTAACCCCTAATGGAGCTTAAGTCTAGAATTCAGGAAGATGCCACTGCTGCTAACAAGAGGAGGCCCAGACGGACTTGAACACACATGGGAAACTACCAACCAGATGCTTGCACAAACAACTGACCTCCCTTGCTCACCAGCTGTTGCCAGCCAGAAGACTCAAATTCCTCTTCAGTGCCCTAGTTGCAGGGGAGTCTGGGAAATGTAGTGTCTGGCTAGACAATCATGTTTGCAGCTGAAGCTATGGATAAGGAAAGATGGAATGGAGGATCTCCCTTAACTGTCCGTTACACACCTAATCTGGAGAATTTTATATTGACTCAAAAAAAATATTGCTTCAGACCCTTTCTCATACTATATAGATGGGAAAATAAGATGATTTGACAGAAGCACAAAATGAACCACAAAAACAAGGGCAGTAGGACATAGGCTTACATTCGCTGAATATTTTTCCTGCCAAGGCTAGCCCACACCTGTCCTCTGGTCTTATCAAAGAGGAATGTCAGTAAAGTGATGAGACTTGTAACACCAAATGCAGACTTTCTCCCTGTAAGATCTGAAAGATTGGAAGTAGAAAGAGATGGTCCCCTTTACTACAAGACACAGTGTTATTGCAGATGGCAAGTGGAAACATCTTGCCCACCACACTGGTTCTGTGGTCAGCAGATCCCAGTCTCTGCTATCTGCATGGGGGACATGCAGACATTCCTAGCTATCCCTTCACCCACTCAGTCATTTTTCTTGTGTAAAGAGGAATCTATATTAATACTGTGGTATTTGTGCTGTTAACTCCCCACTGCCAGGCACTTAGCAAGCACTCAATAAATTCAGCAGATACTTGCTGAGTACTTTTTCTGTGCTAAATACTGTTCTTGGTATAAGATATACAATGGTGAATAAAATAGACAAGCTAATGTCAAGTACTGTGTACCAGCAAAACGTCATGGAGTGATGAGAGGGTGAGGCTGGGGAACAGTGACTACTGGGTGATTCAGGAAGGCCCCTGGAGGTGGTGACATTTAAGAAGGCTGTTCAATGTTCTCACGATACTTGGTGCTGGGCATTGGGAATGGTTTACATGCCCCTGATGAATTCTCCACCCAAGATTGATTGTTCACCCTCTTCCCCCCTAAAAAAATTTGGACTTGCTGTCCCAAAGATGAGAATGCCTGGGGAAAGAGATGGCTGCCCAGGAGAATGATCTCACCACGTGGCTCTCTTATTTGAGGCACAATTTAGAGGTGAGCCTTGAATTCAAATCCTCCACTTTTTTCTAACTCTGGGCAACTGAACTCCAAACTCAGTATGGGCCTGGACCCAAATCTAGCCCCTGTACTTCCTGGCTCTATAACCTTGTGAACAACTTTAAGGTTCTGTGTTTCTATTTCCACACAAAATGGGGTATTTGTTGGAGTCAATAAAAGTACATACCATATTTTTCTGTGTATAAGACGCTATTTTTTCTAAAATCGTTAGACTGAAAATCAAGGGGCATCTTAATACATGGAAGTCAGTCCAGGAGGGAGCCATATGGGTTCATAGCTGACCATACCTTGTCAAACAGGCTTCCTCCAATCATGAACCTTATTGTTACCGACATCAGCTGATGCCATAATTGGAGGTGGTGGTGGAGAGTGCACAGATGCAACAGGGACCAGAGCGTACTGAGCCTATAAAGATGTCAAAAAATAAAAAGACAAATACGGGTAAGCAATAGTCTTACCCTGCAAAATTCAAACTGAATGTAATCAGCTCTGCAAAAGAGCATGGAAATAGAGCTGTAGAGAGACAATTTTGACCTCCTCCCATTGAGTGTATGATCAGACAGTGGAGAAAACAGGAAGAAGAACTTAAGGTGCCAAAAGAAAGGCCTTACTAGTAAGAGGAAAACCAGCAAAAGTTTAAAATACTGCGTTCTTAGTTTTGGGTTTGAAAAGCGGGGGCGGGGGGGGGGTCTTATACATGGAAAAATATGATCGATGTTTCTAACTCTCTATCTCTCTCCCTTCCTCTCTGTAAGAAATCAATAAAATATATTAAAAAAAAAAAGGTAAACGCATTATAAAGAACTATTAGCTTTTATCTCTATTGTACAGATGAGAAAGGTGAGGCTCCAAAAGGAGAATATAGCTTAGCCCAGGTCACTGAGTCAGGAAGTGACTGGTGAGGATAAATAATGATCATGGCAGGGTACATCTAGCCTAAGGTCCAACATATAATATTCACTCAGTATTTGAGAGCTGGCGCTATTCTTGGCAATCAAAGGGCTGCCTGTTCTGTCCCTCAGCACAGGAAATTCCAAGCTAGGTACCCAAGCCAACTGGAGAAGATGGAATTGAATATCAGCCTGCCTGTCGGGGCCTCTGACTGCTGAGGGGGCAGCCTGGGCAGCTTTGGAGCTCTAGGCATTTCCTTGTGTGAGAAGCCCCCACCCTGTCCTTGAAATGGTTCTGGCTGGGTAACAGCCTCTAGGTGGTGTGGGCGAAATTTGGGACTGGTTGAGGGCAGGGACAAGACTAAGAACACAGGATTCCTTGTACTGCTGTAAAGAGGGAGGGAGGAGGAAATATGAGGCCCCGTTCCCTGCTTAGTCACTCTCCTGCTCATAGTCCATGATGACTTGGTCCAGGGTGTTCCTCGGTATCATCTTGCTGTCTGCCTTCCCAGGATCTACTGTTGGGGGCCGCCCCATGCCCAAGCTCGCTGACTGGAAGCTGTGTGCTGATGAGGAATGCAGCCGTAAGAGTTGGGGTTGGGGTTGGGGGCTTGGATTGCCAGCCTGAGTGGAGGGTGCTATCATTCCCTTATATTCCTTCCCCAGACCCCATCTCCATGGCTGTGGCTCTTCAGGACTACGTAGCCCCTGACTGCCGTTTCCTGACCATACACAGGGGCCAAATTGTGTATGTCTTCTCTAAGCTGAAGGGCCGTGGTCGGCTCTTCTGGGGAGGCAGTGTGAGTCTTGGGAGAATAGAAGAAGGGGTATGGGGCTGGTGTGGGAGTGCACCCTAATTTTCCACATAAAGGGAAAATTTGAGGGGTAACTGAAATAGAGTTTAGGGGTACCATTGTGATCTACTTTTACCTTGTTTAGCAATAATTATAGGGCACCTATGGTGCCAAGTTCTGTTCTAGGCACTGAAGATATAATCCTATGTAATAAAAGGCTAATATACAGATTGACCGAATTGCAGAAAAACTGGTCGCTATGACATGCACAGACCACCAGGGGGCAGACGCCCAATGCAGGAGCTGCACCCTGGTGGTCAGTGTGCTCCCACAGGGGGAGGGCTGCTTAGCAGGAAGCCAGGCTCAGTGCTGGTGAGCGCAGCAATGGGAGAGGCTCCCGCCTCTGCAGCTGTGCTAAGGTGCAGCGATCAGGCAGGCGGTAAGGAGAGAGGGGTCCCAGACTGTAAGAGGGATCTGGGACTGCGACAGGGCACAGGCTGGACTGAGGGGACCTCCCATCCAGTGTACGAATTTCGTGCACCAGGCCTCTAGTAGCAAATAATCCTCATCCAAGGAGTGAGGATATTTTTTCCACTGATTTTTAGAGGGAGTGTAAGGGAGGATGTGGGGAGAAGGGAGAAACATCGATGTGAGAGACACACAGGTTAGGTGACTTCCACACGCTCCCTGACCAGGGCTGGGGAGATCAAACCTGCAATCCAGGTATGTGTCCTTGACCAGGAATTGAATCCTCAGTCCTCCCAGGCACAAGGCACTCTAACCACTGAGAATACTGGCCAAGGTGCAAATAATCCCTTTTATTCTATTGGAAGAAGACAAACCATCAAAATTAGCCAATATGCTTCTTTGAAAATGCATGTGAATGAATGGGTGACTACATCAGGTGGTCAGGGAGGCTTCAGAACAGGTGACTTTAAGCTGATATCTGATTGACAAGGATGGAGCCAACCACATGAAGATCCCTGGAGAGCTAGTACAAGGATCTTTAGGAGTTGCGAGCTTGTCACTTTCCCAGACCCAGGCTTTTAAACCCCTTTTCCCTAGGTTCAGGGAGATTACTATGGAGACCTGGCTGCTCGCCTGGGCTTTTTCCCCAGTAGCATTGTACGGGAGGACCAGACCCTGAAACCTGGCAAAATCGATGTGAAGACAGATGTGAGTGTGTTGGGGGCTGGCAGGTATCTAGAGGGAGGATCCTTGGGTTTTGATAATGGGCAAAAAGGCTTCTACCTTTGGCTGCCTGGAAGCCTAGCCAAGTTTTCTGCCTCAATTTTCTCATCTGTAAAATAGGGCATGATTTCTAAGTCCTGTTGCAGTTGAGAGGTGTAAGATTACAGGGCTCTGGGCTATTTTGCATTGCACTTGTGTGGCCAAACTTGGCCCCTAAGGCCTTTGCTAAAATCCCTAGATCCTTTGTGGTGTGACCACTGGTTTTGTCCCCACTGTTTTCCTTTTCTCTTTTCCAGAAATGGGATTTCTACTGCCAGTGAGCTCAGCCTACCGCTGTCCCAGCTGTTTATTTCTTCCAGCTTTATGCAAATACATCAGCCAAATGCAAACTTCGATTCGCTGTGGTCTTTATGGTGGGGATCTATTGGTATAATGGAAATGGGTCCCCAGGTTCCTGAGTCTGGTCAATCAACCACTGACTACAGGAACATCAGTGGTTGCTAGGTAGAGTTTCACTGACTAAAAGCACTTTTTCTAAGCTGGGTACCCGAGGTGGGCTCCTAAACTTAGATATCGCACACAATCTGAACAGCCCAATGGGGAATTGTAGTGTCCTCTAAACCAATAAATGGAACGATGTGAAACTACTGGGAATGAGCCAGTTGGATCTTGAGGAAGACAGCAATCGCAGAGCAGAGGTCATCTTGGAAGATTATCTACAAAGGGAGGAAGGAGGTGGTTAACCTGCGCGTATTCCCCCAATTTTCATCCTTCCTGCCTCTGAGGTCAGAAATCGCACTTGCTAGGCTCTTTAATCTATCCGGTCCTTACTCTCTTCTTTGCATCCATATCCCCGCCCCCAAGTCCTCTACTACCCAATGTGGAGTCTCGACTTGGCCCCCCAACTCCTGACCAAATCCGTTTCTTCGCTCGGCTGCATCTGCACCGCCCCTTCCCACTTGCTCCGCCAATCGCTTGTCTTGGTCCCGCCTCTTTCCGCTCGTCCTCTCTCACACCGTCAATCCGTGCTTTATGTCCCGCCCTCTGACCGCTGAGTCCGCCAATCCCTGCCTTTGGGAAGTGTGGCCGGGTATCCTGAGGCCCTAGGGGTCGTGCCGGAGGCGGGTGGAGGCGGAAGTGGCGGCGCCGGGCTCCTGGAGTAGGAAGAAGCCGGGGCTGTAGCCGGAGTAGAGCGGCTGCTGGCCGAGGAGCAGGCGCGGCCGCGGCGCCATATTGCGGCCCTGAGCGGCCACGACCAAGTCATGGCCGAGACCTACGGTGAGGATTCTGGGCGTAAGCTGCGGTCGGGTGTCCGGGCCCAGGAAGGATGCGGCCTGCGGGAGTGGGGCGGGGCTTTAGTCAGGGGGCGGGGTCTGGTGTTATGGGGCAGGGCCTAGTGGGTGCTGGGCGGGGTTTAGTGGGCCTGAGGCTGAGCTTAATCGATTTGGGCGGGGCCTGCCGGTCTGGTTATGGGTTTAATAGTCTGGGATGGGAATTGAGGGAGGCCTAGCATGATGGATCAGGCGGCTTTGAGGGAGAGGGTGGGCCTTAAAACGTCGGGGCGGAGCCTGCGTGGCTGGGGCAGGGCTGAATAGCAGGGATCGAGTTTGATGGGCTAAGGGTTTCCTGCAGGGATGCTCTGGACCCTGTGACTGCTCTGGCTTGAGAGGTCTGGAATAGGGTTGGGGATGAGTTGTCTTTGAATTATGGGGTGGGACTAGTGGCAAGGGGTGGGCCTCAAGCTTGAGAATAGGGGCAGGGCCTTGGGTAGAGGGAAAGGAAGGAGGGACTTAGAATTGGAAAATCAGGATGGATGGATAGGAGGTGGGAGGACAGGGTGCAGTAGAAAGATCACTGGTTTAGGAGTCAGAGGGAGCAACATTCATTCAACAAATAGAGAAAAGCATAGGCAACAAGTGCAAAGACCCTGAGGCCGGAAGCAGCTTGTCATCTTCAGGGAGTAGACTGAAAGCCAGAGGCTAGAGTGGAATTAATGAGTCAGAGCGGTAGCAGGTGAAGTCATGAGGGGCAAGGGTAATATTGTAGTCCTTTTTTTTTTTTTTTTAAATGTTCCCAGTAGGCTGAATGCTATGCTACCAACATAGCAGAAAAAAACCTATTGGGGAAATGTTTTGTGGTCATGTCCACGGCAAATGAGGAGATTGTAGTCCTTGATAAAAGAGGCCTTAGCAATGTAATAGCTAAGACTCTAGAGCCAGTTGGCCTGGGTTTGAATACCTGCTTTGCCTAGCTGGGGGGCCTTGGGCAAGAGAGTTAACCTTTCTGGCCTCAGTTTCCTCATCTGGAAAATGGGGATAATTATTAGTACAACTCCCTCATAGAGTTTTCCCGAGGATTAAGGGAGTTGTTGATGTAGGTAAGGAACTTTAGAACTGTGTCTGGTACATGGTAAGCATTATATAAGAATTTTCTATTATTGTTGTTACCCACTACTCTGCTTGTGTTTGTTTCTCTCCCTGTAACTGTAATGGCCTCTTGGTTTCCATATTTTCTCCTGTATGTTTCTCTTTGTCTGGATTTTCCTGATTCTGGCTCCATCTGCTCAGATTTTCTCTTCAAATTCCTGGTGATTGGCAGTGCAGGAACTGGCAAATCATGTCTTCTTCATCAGTTCATTGAGAATAAATGTGAGTGTCTGGGAGTGGCCCCGGGAGCACTGAATGATGGGTATGGGCATGGTGTGAATAAGTGGGCAATGGTTGGATGGACAGGGGCAGAACTGCCCATAGATACACTCCAGTGCTGGCTGCCTGGTTCTTGCTATGGTGTATGCTCTTTGCTAGTTCCTCCTTGAGCCTCAGTCTCCCCAGCAATGGGAACGGGTTGAGGGGGCCTTGGAGGACAGGGAATCCTCTGAGCCCCTGCACTGCCTCTTTTTGCCCTCCCACTACTCCCAGTCAAACAGGACTCCAACCACACGATCGGAGTGGAATTCGGATCTCGGGTAGTTAACGTGGGTGGGAAGACTGTGAAACTGCAGATTTGGGACACAGCTGGCCAGGAGCGGTTTCGGTAAGTGGGCTGGGCTCCCAAGGAGAGAGAGAGTGGGGGTGGGGGTGGGGGAGGAGAGAGGAGAGGAAATGGGAGAGAGAGGTGTGCAGAGACACTTGGAGATACAATGATAGGGGCAAGGGGATACTGAGAGGGCAGGCAAGGCAGAAGGAGAGAGACAGAGCCTGAGTAGCAAGTACAGACAGCCAAATGGAGGAGGAGCCTGGAGAGAGGATGACAGAGACAGTGAGAGAAACAGACTGAGAAAGAAGCATAATACAGAGTGAGAGAGCCAGGGAGAGACCAAGCCTGAAGAGAAAGATACCTGGGGTGGGCATCAGAGGGCAGAGATGGAAAGAGAGTGACTAAAACAGAAAGGGAAAGGGACACTTGAAAGAGATAAACAGAGAAGGAGAGAGAAAGAGAGAGACCGAGAAGAAGAGAAAGATAACTGAGATGAGACAGAGAACAAAGACAGGGAAAGGGAGACAGGACTAGCAGAGAGAGTAACGAATAGTTACTCAGTGCACAGTATGTCTTCAGGAAATGTCTGGAGAAAGGTGATAGACATATAGAAACCCTGAGTCTGAGGAAGAGACAGGAGAGAAACAAGAGAAGAAGAGCTGCTAAGTTAATCGTCGTGTGTTAGTTTACTGTGTGAGGTGCACAGACGCCAGGCCAGAGACAGAGGGGGAAGGAAAGACAGGTGTGCGACACAAACTGGGTTTGCAGTAAGTGCTCAATAAATGCAGAATGATTGCATGCGTTCTAGAGGACCCAGACTGGTGGCACAGGGAGATGCAGACAGTTGGCCACACTGGGAAGGGGGCCTCCCCGAGACACAGCAGAAGAGGGATAAGCAGATGTAGTTGCATAGCATCTGGCCAGGACTAGGCAAAAGGGAGATGACAGAAAATGTGAGTATGAATGAGACAGAGACAGAAATAGAGATTTAAACACACACACACACACACACACACACACACACACACACACACAACAGAGACAGAAAGACAGACCAATGAAGGAATACAGAAAGACAGGGACACAGGAGAGTCAAAGACAGAGAAAGACTAAGAGGCAAACAAAATGCTAAGTGATATAGAGGTTGAGGGAGATAGAAACTGTGAGACAGAGAGGCATTGTAGTGAGACCAGATCATGCCAAGTTTTGGGGGAAGGGCCAGCAGTGAAGGGAGCCTCCAAACCACCAGTCTCTCTCTGCAGAGGGGGGGGCAGTCTTGGGGCAGACCCCAGCCTCTGAGGTGACTGGGTCCTCTTGGCCCCCCAGGTCTGTGACACGGAGTTATTACCGAGGGGCAGCTGGAGCCCTGCTGGTGTACGACATCACCAGGTAGGTGCATGAAATGGATTGGGTAGGATCTGGATGGCCCCTCTCCTGCACCTACCTCCCTTTTCTTTTCTTCTCCGCAGCCGGGAGACTTATAACTCGCTGGCTGCTTGGCTGACAGACGCCCGCACACTGGCTAGCCCCAACATCGTGGTCATCCTCTGCGGCAACAAGAAGGACCTGGACCTGGAGCGTGAGGTTACTTTCCTGGAGGCCTCCCGCTTTGCCCAGGAGAACGGTGAGAGCCATAGGGTGAGCGACAGGGATGGAACAGTCCACTGGGGCCGTGGACCTTCTGGCTCTCTCTGGCCGTGTCCAGCAGGAGAATGTGGAGGTTTAGAGAGGTCTGCGTTCATATGTGAGTGTTGCCGCATGTATATCAGGTGACTGCTCTGGTCCTCAGTTTCCTTGTCTAGAAAGTGGGTCTCACAATGTTTCTGTCTCACATTCCGCATGATGGTTAAGGGGCATGGTTCATGGAAAGCCTTCAGCACCCCCTGGATGGAGTGGGTACTTGATAATGCTGGCTGCTAAGAAGGTTTCAACCACCATGGCGAGGGCACAGGGTATTGGTGTAAGCTAGAAACTGCAAACTCCAATGGCCCTAAGGGACAGGCATGTTTTGTGATTAAAGGAGATAGGTTGGGGTTGACCATGTTAGTAGGCACTGGCATCAGTGGAGTGTACAAGACTGACAGCCTGTTAAAAGGAATGCAAGTACAAACCCATTTGAAAATATTATGTTGGCCAAATGTCTGCTGGCTTAGGGACTGTCCATGTTCTTCCAGTTTGTAACCTCCAGGTTTAGAGGAAGTTTTGCCATCAGAAAGATGTGGGTTTCAATCCTGGCTCTTAATTTACTTTGAGGCCTTGTCATATGACTGATGGGTGAACTGTAGTGGACCTGGGCCTTGCTAGATGGCGCTAAGGACACGGTGATGATGACAGCATGGGCCTAGCTCACAGTCCAGTGTCGGGTAGGTGGGCAAGCAAGTGCATTTCTACACAGTGATAACCCAGAGGGATCAGGACCAGGCTGGGGGAGACACAGGCCCATGGGAGCCTGAGGAGGCACCTGACCCATCCTGGGAGGTCAGGGAGGACTCTCTGGGGGACCTCCTGTAGTGAGACCAGATCATGCCAAGATCATGTGTGATCTGAGCTCTGAAGGAAGAGCTAGGTGAGTACCTGGGGAGAAGGGCATTCATGACAGTGGTGTGTATGAAGGCCAGGAGTGAGGAAATGGTGTGTATGAAGGCCAGGAGTGAGGGCAAAGGTGGCACGTTTGAGGAACAGAATGAGAGGCAGCAGGTCAGGGTTGGAGTAGAGGATGGGGATTGACAGAAGTCTGACCTGAGCATCTGCCCCCAGAACTAATGTTCCTGGAAACCAGTGCTCTCACAGGGGAGAACGTGGAGGAGGCTTTCCTGAAGTGTGCCCGCACCATCCTGAACAAGATCGACTCAGGTGAGGCACAGACTGACCGGAGGGGGAGTGGGAGTGGAAGGTAGGGGCCAGAGGTTTCCAAGGGACCCATCCTGACCTCTCCCCTCGCTCCCAGGTGAGCTCGACCCCGAGAGGATGGGCTCAGGCATTCAGTACGGTGATGCTTCCCTTCGCCAGCTGCGGCAGCCTCGGAGTGCCCAGGCCGTGGCCCCACAGCCCTGTGGCTGCTGAGACCTGTGGAGCCAGGTGGGATACTGGGGACTCAGGGATTGCAGGGTGGTCTCCTGGCAAGGGGGGGTATGGCACAGCGACAGAGACACAGAAAAGGAAAGGTGACAAGAGAAACCGCGAAAGAAAAATGCAAAGACACGAGTTAAAGGAACCATCTTCCTGGCCAGGGGAAGTCTGGCCTGGATCTCTGACCCTCCCGTTCATATTTCATGAAATATTCATTGAGCATCTACTATGTGCCAGGCCCTGTTCAAGCCACTCATGAAACACAAAATCCCTGCCTTCAGCCCAACCAGCATGGCTCAGTGGTTGGGCATTGACCTATGAACCAGGAGGTCATGGTTCGATTCCCGGTCAGGGCACATGCCCAGGTTGTGGGCTAGATTCCTAGTATGGGGTGTGCAGGAGACAGCCGATCGATGATTCTCTTTCATCTCTGAAATCAATAAAAATGTATTTTAAAAAATCCCTGCCTTCATGGAGGAGACAGACAATAAATAAGATACATAAGTAAATTATATAGTCATTAGGGAGATAAGAGCTACGCAGGGCATGGAGGGATGTGGGGTGGGGAATGGAATTTTGAACAGGAAGATAAGGCAAGGCCCTATTGAGAAGGTGACTTTTTTTTTTAAATCCTCAACCAAGGTTATTTTTTCCATTGATTTTTCTAGAGAGAGTGGAGGGGACGGAGGAGGGGTGAGAGAGAGAGAGAGAGAAACCTTGATGTGAGAGAGAGACAGTGATTGGTTGCTTCCCTCACCTGCCCCAACCTAGCTGGGGAGTGAACTTGAAACCTAGATATGTGCCCTTGACTGGGAATCAAACCCGAGACCTTTCGGTCTTTGGGCTGATGTTCTAACTACTGAGCAAACCGACCAAGGCGAGAAGGTGATATTTGGGCAAAGACTCAAAGAAGAACCTTGATGTGAGAGAGAGACAGTGATTGGTTGCTTCCCTCACCTGCCCCAACCTAGCTGGGGAGTGAACTTGAAACCTAGATATGTGCCCTTGACTGGGAATCAAACCCGAGACCTTTCGGTCTTTGGGCTGATGTTCTAACTACTGAGCAAACCGACCAAGGCGAGAAGGTGATATTTGGGCAAAGACTCAAAGAAGGTAAGGGAGGCCCTGGCCGGCTTGGCTCAGTGGCTAGAGCGTCAGCCTGCGGACGGGGGGGGCCGGTGTGATATTTGGGCAAAGACTCAAAGAAGGTAAGGGAGGCCCTGGCCGGCTTGGCTCAGTGGCTAGAGCGTCAGCCTGCGTACCGATGGGTCCCAGGTTTGATTCCAGCCAAGGGCAGAAAGAGTATTCTAGGCAGAAAACAGCTAGTGCAAAGGCCCTGTGGCAATGCTATGCCTGGCATGAGTAGAGAAGACCAAGGAGGCTAATGTGGCTGGAGTGGAGTGTGTGTGTATGTGTGTGTGCATGTGTGTGTTGAGGGGGTGGTATGGTATAGCAGGAGATGAGGTCAGAAGTGGAGGGAAGCAGATGAATTAGGGTCTTCTGAGCCACAGGGAGGACTCTGGCTTATACACTGGATGGGGTGGGAGCCATAAGAGGGTTCTGAGCAGAGGAGGGGTGGGATCTGATTCGGGTGTTCATAGGGTCCCTCTTACTGCATATAGTGGGGGACTGTGTGGAGGGCGTGACCTGGAAGACCAGTGAGCAGGCTACTGCAAAGTGAGGGTGAGAGATGATGGTGGAAATACCATCACCTGGGAGGAAGGGGGGCAGAGAAGGTATTTAGGTGTATGTCGGTTCTGTATCCTCCCTGGTTTCTGTCTCCAGTCTTGTGCCCTCTTAATGTAGCCATTGGGTCTTTCTAAAGCACATCCTATCCTGTCTCTCTTGCTTAAAACCATTCATGTCTCCCAGGGTCCATGAGACACAGCTGAGGCTCCTCAGCCTGGTGTTTGACTCTGCATCTCTTTCCACCTCTCAGGCCACTGTAGCCACACTAAAGTTTTTTCTATATTTCTGGGTCTTTGCTCATTTTGCTGCTTCTGCCAGGAACACTGTTCCTTCCCTCTTTTCCATATTAACTTCCTCCCTCTCCTTCAGGAAGCCTTGTCTGTTCCAAACGACTTGACAGGTTTGCAAGATCCTACAGGATTTGGTCCCATCCTGACTTCTCTAGGGGTGTGACTGTCTTCCCAGTGCTCCCCCTGCACTTCATGCCCATTTCCCCCCCAGCCATTGGCAGTTCCAGAGTGGCTGTGGGGGAACGGGGTTATACTGGATAGGCTTTGAAGACAAAACCAAAATGATTTCCTGATGAGTGCATATGGAATTTGAGAGAGAGGAGTCCTGGGTAAGTTCCTTGGGTAGTGCTCTTTTTTCCATCCAGGCCTTTCCACCTGCTGTGCCTCGGTTGGGTGCGCCTGTCCTCCCGCCTCCTTTCTTACACCAGCTCCTATTCTTTTTCTTCCTTTTATCCCTTGAAAGACTCCGCTATGCAGAAATGAATGAGTGTACTCTTCCCCTAGGGCTTAGCCCAGGGTCTGTTTCAGGGTTTGCTCTCAGGGAATCAAATATTGTAAGATGATGTTTTTTCACTTTGTTGACTGCAAATCTGTTGGAGGAAATATATGTTGATCTAATACAGGCACACACATAAAACTGAAACACATGTTTTCTTAGCACCAATATTCTTTTTTTAAAAAAATTGTGATATTCACATAAGATAAATCTAGCCATCTGACAGTGTGTCATTCAGTACTTTCACAAGATTGTGCAACTACCACCTCTGTCTAGTTCCAAAACATTTCATTACCTTTAAAGGAAAGTCCGTACCCACTAAACAGTCACTCCTCGTTCTCTCCAGCCTCTGGCACCCACTTATCTGCTTTGTATCTCCATGGACCAATATCCTATATCATAACAGCCTAATAGGCTAAGTGTCCGACCTTTCGACCAATTGCAATGATGTGCACTGACCACCAGGGGGAAGATGCTCCGACCGGTAGGTTTGCTTGCTGCTGGGGTCTGGGCAAGACAGGCTGGACACACCTTGGAGCCCTCCCTCTATCCCTACCCGGCCCGATCGTGCACCGGTGGGGTCCCTTGGCCTGGCCTGCACCCTCTTGCAATCCAGGACCCCTCAGGGGATGTTGGAGAGCCAGTTTTGGCCCTATCCCCGCAGTCCAGGCCTAGGGACCCCACCCGAACACCCGGGCCTCTAGTTATTACATATGATGCACTCCGATATTTTCTATATATTCCATTTTATTCTTAAAAAAATGTTTTTATTGATTTTAGAGAGAGAGAAGGGAGAGGGATAGGGAGATAGAAACATTAATGAGAAAGACACATGGATCGGCTGCCTCCTGCATCCCCCCTCCTGGGGATTGAGCCTGAAACCGGAAATCGAAATGGGGACCTCTTGGTTTATGGGTTGATGCTCAACCATTGAGCCACACTGGCTGGGCTCTATTTTGTTCTTTTTCAATCAAAGATTGGTCAAGGCCCACCAAACTGATTTCCCATCCCATTAATCCAGTGTTGCACATTGGAATCACCTGGAGATCTTTAAAAGCTACTGATGCCTGGGCCTCCCCCCAATGATTCTGAAGTGATTTCAGGATTCCTGGAAGCTCCCAGGCATTGATATCTGTAACAGAGCAAGAACCACTGACTGAAGGTGTATCCTCAGTTTAGAAAGCCCTAGAATAAGACCTGGAGTCAGGATGACCCAGGACTAGAAGTTACATAGAGATACAAAGGTGGGGACATGAAATTTAGACACTGAGCTACCTTTTTACAGACTCAAGGAGACAGCTCTCTGAGGAAACAAGGAGAAACTCTCACAGAGAATGCCACAAATTACATGCGGATGAGAAATAGAAAGTCAGATAATGTAGAAACTCCTGGAGAGAGAGAAAGGTATGGAGAGACAGACAGTGATAGGAGGGCACAAAGATACCCAGAAAAGAGACAGACACACCAGCTGGACAGAGCCAGGATCCTTCCAGTTCACCTCACACTTTTCTTTCAGCTCACCTGTTCTCCAGGACCAGCCCTACCTTCTGACTGGGGTCCAGACCTAGGCCCTGGGAGGCCAAGTCCCTCACCTGGCCCCAGAGAAGCTGTCCTGACACCTGTTCCCCCTCCCTGGCCTGGTTGGGCCTGGCTGAGGGGCAAGACTGAGCCACGGGGGAGGGGGGAATCCATACCTGCTGCTGCTTCCTCTGTCTTGGCTACCCTCTATCCCCCTCGAACTCCTAACCATTCTCAAAGAGTTCCCAAAGCCTGTGACCAGGGCCATTGGCCCCAGCTCCCCCGGCCCTGCCATTGCGAGTACGAGTTATTTATTACCTGAAGGCTTACTTCTCCACTCCCATAAAGCATTGTTTATACCTGTGTCTTGGCCTTCATCATTTTGGGATGGTGGGGACGGAGGGGAGGCAGAAGAGGTATCTAATGGAAGAATGAGTATCATGGTGTTTGGGGCCACGTTTCTGGATCAGACATGGTGTGGGGGTACACTATGACTCCATGACTCAGGTAGGTGCCTGTTAATGAGGGAGTCTGTCACTGTGTGCACATTTTGTGACAATGTGCGCTGGAGGCCCACATACATAACACGGATGTCCCTGTGTGCCATTATTGATGGTATCTGTCGGAATATGTGCTGCTTGTGTATGTGGCACTGTTGTTTGTGATAATTCTGTGTCCTTAGTGATTGTATTCATGAGGCTCTTTGGGACATCAAACAACATGTATAAGAATTTAGGCCTGTGGGTGATACCTATACATGCCTGATGCCTGAAAGCCTGGGCAGTGTCTAACTTGCATGAGTGCCTCTTAGGTCTTTGTGTGTGTGTGTGTATGTGTGTGTGTAAATACATTTTTTATTGATTTCAGAGAGGGAGAGAAAGAAACATCAATGATGAATCATTGATTGGCCATCTCCTGCACGCCCCTCACTGGGGACGGAGTCCACAACCAGCACATGTGCCCTGACTAGGAATCAAACGGTGACTTCCTGGTTCATAAGTTTGTGCTCAACCACTAAGCCATGCGCGGCAGTCTTTGTGTGTTTTGATGTGAATTTGACTCCTTGATACCTGTATGTGACCATGAACCCTTTCTGTGTGTATGGGGCTTTGTGCAACCTGGACTCACGTGCATACTGAATCCAGCCCAGTATATTATCTTGTGTCCAGGTGAACCTAGGACACCTCATGCTATGCCAGGGACAGATAAGTCCCCTCCGGACACTCCCACCTGCTTAACCGCCCTCAAGTCTGCTTTAACTCACACAGGGAAGGCCTGTGTCTCTGTTCCACCTAGCCAGGGGATGGGGGCATTTAAGTGGACCTCCCTTCCGTCTGGATGTGTCAACCTCCAACACAATCCTCCCAGGCTCAGTCGCCTAAAATGTTCTTAAAAGACAAGGCTGTCATGCAAACATCTCTACATGGCTTTGCTGGGTTACTTTATTCTGACTCGAACACTTGTTGTGAGGGGACAGGGCGGAGTGGGTTATCATCCCTTCTAGTCTGAGATCCCTCCCCTCAAGGACATTCCACACTGCTTTCCTCCGTTACATAAAGGCCTTATGTAAATTATTGCTGGCGTATTCATTTACATATATTTCCCAACTACCTGCTCCGACATTTCTCAATATCTCATCCTTGTTCTTGAGCTGTGAGAAGGTGGAGCTGTCCATGTAAAAGACATCAATCTTTGCGTGGCACATCCCGACTCAGCTACTCATTCCGCAGCGTTCTCGGCTCTGAGAAGATGGGCTTGTCCATGTAAATAGCATTATTTGCATATTCCCCCATGTCATTTGCATGTCTGCAGAAACTTCCGCGATTCAGCCCTTTCTAAATCCGAGCCTCCTCTCGCGAAAAGGGGGCGGGACGAGGAATGCAAATGAGCCTCGTGTCGGCCGGCCCCGCCCCTTTTTT